CCGCCCCAGCATGGCCGTCTTCGACACCCCCCAGGAGGCCTTCGGCGCCCTGCGCCCCGCCTGCGTGCGGCTGACGAGGGCGCAGAGCGCGGAGAACGTGGCGCGGCTGCAGGCCCACCTGGGCGCCGTCAGCGCCGCGGCCCTGCAGGAGCTGCAGGAGTACGTCCTCTTCCCCCTGCGCCTCGCCCTGAAGGCGCCGGGGCCCAGGCAGGAGCGCCTGGTGCAGAGCGTGGTGCAGTGCATCGCCTCCGTCCTCGCGGCGACGCGGGTGAAGAAGCAGGAGCTCCTGCGGGAGCTGTTCTCTGAGCTCTGTACGTGCCTCGCTCCCACTTCTGGCTCAAGCAAACCAGCCCCGCTATCAGAGGAGTTAAAGCTGGCTGTAATCCAGGCACTCCACACCCTGCTGCATTCCGCTTATGGGGACGTTATCTTGTCTCTGTATCAACCTTCCACCCTTCCTCTCTTGGGATTCGCTGTATCTTTGCTTCTGGGCCTAGCAGAGCAAGAAAAAGCAAGGCAAATTAAGATCTCTGCTTTGAAGTGCTTACAGGTCCTAGTTCTGCAGTGTGACTGCCAGGAGCATCGGCACCTAGATGAAGACGAGGCACAGCAATGCGGGGATTTGTTTGCTTCTTTCCTGCCTGGGATTTCCATTTCGCTGTCTCGCGTTATTACTGGAGACATCAAACAAGGTCACAAACCCACCGTTTCTGCCATCAGACTCTTTTATCTGGTTGTCGGCTCGGTAATGGCTGATGCACAGCTAGCCAGAATCCCAAAGAATAAAGAAAAGCTGCCAGTGGAACAAAGCAGAATAGCAGAACTAATGGTCCATAGGGGACCTGACTGGAGTAAAAGTACTGCCGAAAAACTCTCTCTCCTCCTGCGTAAAGTGGTTGAGTTTTCTTCAGTTCACCCACACTGGAAAGTGCGGCTGGAGCTGGTAGAACTGGTCCGGCACCTACTGAGGAACTGCGGACAGTCGCTGGTGGACTCGTTCAGTCATCTGTTAAAGGCCTTAGTTGGGCTGGTGAACGATGAAAACAGCGAAGTCCAAAGCAGGTGTAACGAGGTCCTGCGCGGCATCGCAGAGCGGAGGATTGTAGCGCAGAACAGGGCTCTTGCTGATGTCCTCTCCGAGAACCTCCATTCCCTTGCCACAGCTCTTCCTCGCCTGATGAACTCTCAGGATGACACGGGCAAGGTTTCCACTTTGAGCTTGTTGCTCGGCTACCTGAAGCTGCTGGGCCCCAGGATCAACATTGTCCTCAACTCCGTGTCCCACCTCCACCGTCTGTCCAAAGCGCTGGTGCAAGTTCTGGAGCTGGACGTGACTGACGTGAAGATAGTGGAAGACAGACGCTGGGGCTGTGAGAGCGCGTGCAGACCGGCGGGCTCCCTGCAGCACGGTGTGCAGAAAGGCAGATGTCAAAAGAAATACTTCCGCTTCTTCACAGAGGAGAAGATTTTCCAGCTCCTTCAGCAAGTTTGTCGTGTTCTTGGCTACTACGGGAACCTCTATTTGCTTGTGGATCATTTCATGGGGCTGTATGGTGAATCTGGCATGTACCGAAAGCAGGCAGCGATGGTCCTCAACGAGCTGATTGCAGGAGCTGCTGGAATGGGGGTGGACGTCCTTCAGGAAAGGGAAATTTCGCCAAACGTGGATGATCTCAAAGGGTCCATAACGTCCATTCTTGATGAGTATACAGACCAGGCAAACTGGTATTTGATCACTAGCATTGATACAGAAGAAATCAACCACGAGCACTCTGTGCAACGTTCAGGACTCGCTGCCTGTCCAGGAGGTGCATACAGCAGCATTCTCCTTCCGTCTCCAGAGCCGCACGTAACGACCCGCACCATGAACAGCAACATCTGGCAGATCTGCATCCAGCTGGAAGGCGTCGGCTGCTTCGCTGCTGTCCTCGGGAAGGGGTTCCGGTTGCTTCTGCTGTCAGCTCTCTACCCTGTGTTGGAGAAGGCTGGCGACAAGACTCTGCTCATCAGTGAGACAGCACTGGGGACGCTGGTGGACATCTGCGAGGCCTGCAGTTACGACTCTGTGCAGTCTTTGATTAATGAGAATTCTGACTATCTGGTGAATGGGATTTCCCTGAATTTGCGCCAGCTGGCACATCAGCCACATGCTTCCCAGGTCCTGGACACCATGCTGAGGCATTCAGATGCCAGCTTGCTGCCACTGGTAGAAGACGTTATCCAAGATGTCTTGTCTACACTAGATCAGTCTTACAATAACCAGGCTTCCACTTTCCTCAGGGTCCTCCACTCAGTAATGGCAGCTTTAGGTATCTAAATGACGTTTACTTTGCGTAATTCCGTCTTACTGTAACTAAGGGTACTTGTCTGTGACCTCTCGACTTGCCATGGGCGAGTTCAGGTAGCTGAGGTACTGCAGCGTGATGGCAACTTTGCTTTGCTTGGTGGGCCACCGCTCAAGCAAAGATGGCCAATAGCTTCCGCTCTCCACAACCAGTTTCTGTTTGTCTGGCCTGCAGACTTGCAGGAACGTGGCCTGTAGTGGTTGAGAAAGGGTGGATTTGCTACTCCTGTGTTCTGTAGAAGCACATGGAGTACATTCCTTTTTATATCGGGGGTTTTAACCTTCTCATACCATCAGGAAGGTCACGGTGATGTGACAGCAGGTGCCTGATTCAGTCCCTTGAGACGCAAGAGTCATGTTCATCTCTCCAGGAGTCTGTGGTACCTTGTGACTTGCAGGAGGGGATCGCGATTACTTAGTGACCTATCAGTTCCTTTTTTGCAGTCCAGTGGTTTGGGTCGTCCTGCGGTGAGGAACACCAGCGAAGGCAGGCTCCCGAGTGGCAGAGCAGGACTTCGTCCCAGGGGCAGCTCGTGGTGACGAGGCAAGAAGTGGAGCGATTCTTCCTTGACTACGTCAGACAGAAGCAGATCGCAGAGGGCAATCTTCCTGACACAGGCGACGAGGAGGCAGGTCAGTACTGTGTGTGACTGGAGAAGAGTATGTTCAGCTTAGAGAAAGACAGTGACCTCCAAGGTTCCCTGTTGTCAGACGGGGGACTCGGGACCAGGCTGAAAGCCTGGCACGCTCCTGACAGTCTCAGGTCTGCTCTGAGCTGACCTTAGCTCACGTAAGGTGCTGCGGGGCGTTCCTGCTTCGTTCTGTGCACGGGGCGGGAGGGGGGCAGTGAAATGTTGGCAGATCAAGGCTTGTCTAGCTCTAAGACACAAGCACGCTGTGTTTTTCCGTACCTCATAACCAGCCATTTGGGTTCAGGACCCAAAGTTTCCTCTTTCCAGGATCCTACTGCGTTTTCCTCACCCTCCCTTGGGAATCCCTGTACCGTTTTTTCCTGGCTAATGATGCCACCCCTCCCTTCTCACTTGGCCTTGGCAGGGCATGCAGCCATTCACATCGGAACTTTTTAGTCTTTACTGGGCTATGCTGCAATCCTGACCTTTAAATACTTCATCTTTAAATACCCAGGCTTTTCATTTTTAATAAAAATCAATGGGAAGTAAGTCCGTGGTGAGGAGAGACTGCAAACGTCAGACCAACTGCATTGTCCAGTAAAGAAAGCAAACCTTCCCTAGCCCCACACTTAACTGAATCCGACGCTTAACTCGCACAACTCGAGCGTAGACTTGACTATATCTAAATAAGTTAAAAAATGCCAAAGGCCTCACTTGGGAATTTGCAGAGTAGTTGTGGGTGGGTATTGTGATCGCCCAGGACTTCCAAGTCATTTTCATGGCTTCAGTAACGGTTTTGTCTTCCAGATG